GCCTTCGCTACAGATGCACGGGTTTCCTTTTTGGATGAAAATTGACTACCTTGACTAAACTGCCAGAGAGCTAGTGCTCAATTCGGGAGCGGCGTGTGGTTTAAACCTCAAAATCGTGTTAGTTAAATGGGACAGTAGACTGTTATTAACTGTTTGTACGATTTCCGGATTTAAAGCACTTACGGTTTTATGCAGTTCTTTCCCTCTGCAGCTCAATGTTCCCTTTGTTATTAGAGAATGCGTTCTGCATCCACTAGGATTAGTGGAACTCCTCGATAAGGATAGATTTTACTGTAATTTTGAGTGATTGATGAGGCGTCGGGACTTCTTACTGGTGGCTTGTAGTGCAGTAGATTTCTACACGTACTTGCTCTTTTAAGCTGCGCAGTGTTTACATGCCTCATTTTTTGTCAAGGTAGGGAATTTACCGTTGCAGTAATTTTAATTGAAAAGTTTAGCCTGTTGTTCTTTCAATTGACTACGTTGTTGCTGCCTCTACTGGAATATTGGTTCAACTGTTTCGCAGATGCCTCAATGTTCTTTTGATGCGCAGTAAAGTGGCAGATTTATTTGTAATTACTCGTCAGTAAAATTTACTTCGTCAAATTCGCGGGTTTCGGTTTTGGGTAATTTTTGAGAAGAATCTTTATTAATCACCACACCTTGCTTTATGTATGCATGGCATATTTTGCACCCCATTAGTGCCTGTTGCAGATGCATCGCGCTTTGTCTAGCGCTGTTCTGCGTTGTTTTTGTGCCACAGTCGTTCCTTTATGCAGCTGGTCGTAGAGCGTGGACTTCCAGTGTTTCGTGTCGTCCCTTTGGAGACATTTGCCCTTAAGGCCGATTCTGTGAGGTGTTTATCGTCGAGACCCTCATGTTTGAACGGCGAGTGTGCCTGAGGTACGCACAATGTCATGGCGTGATTCGCGCATCTGTCTTATTCGCAATAGCTCGGCAATAACTAGATAATTGTGGATTTTGGGTGTCTTCGTCTCCTGCCTGGGGTCACAGCTCCATGGTCAGAGGTCAAACATGATTTTCGCTCGTGATTCAGTCGTAGTAGCGTGGCAAATGTTAGATAATCGCGAGTTTTGGAGAAGTTGATACCTTACCTTGGCTTCGGCAACATGGTCAACACGTATGGGTGCGTTCCACCAGTCCGGGTCATGACAATGATTGGCTCGTCGGCTTTGCGCGCATATGCGTGCATATATAAAGATGGGATGCATTTTCAGTGTAGCAATGCGTAATTAATTCTACTCTCCTGAACGTCATGGCGGTAAAGGCTGATATAGAGGGAGAGCGGGAAGTACGGAGTTTTATTTTATACCCTACTAGTACTTCAAGCGTCGCTTTTTTCAGTCATTTTTTCTTTAAGGCCGGTGGTGTTGTTAATAATCGTGGCAACAAATGCTGGGCGAGAGATGGGATCCGTTAATCTCGGCCTTCTGTTTACCATTCCATCGGTACCGGGATTTATTTCCTTAAAAACTATTCTGGTTTTCCTCAGTGCATGGGTGAAACCGCTCACTTTTATTTAATTCTGCTTTTGTTGTGCTACACGTTTATTTGGAAACCATGGCGTCAAGTACTTCTTCTTGGAGAAAGGTGGGAATAGCGGACCTTCTTTTTCACCTCAAAATTTTTAATGTATCGTTATTTTGCCTTAATACTCCCCTCTCGGTGGGTGCGTAAGGCAGTACTTTCTTTACGCGTGTGGCAGTAAAATGCGTATTCTGAGATGTTTCCTTCAGCCGTTGAGTCTAGATTTCACATTGCTTCCTTACATCAGTACTTTATTCGTAGTTCAGATACGTGGTGTGTTTGGCTGGACGTGGATTCCTCTGAACCTTCAAGGCAATGGTGTTTGACTGCTGAATGGAAGATAAAACTGTGGAAGTTCGGCGTTCTTCATTCCATTTCTTCAGTGCCACAACAGGTAGGCATATGTAAGGCAGTTCCTTTGAAAATCCTGAAGGCAAAGTCTGAGTAGGTTATCCAAAAGTGAAGATGGAGAGCTACTTTTTTGAGCCTTGCCCTTGTTAAATTCTCTTAACATAAGGTACTGCTTGTCTGTAATACTAGTCCATCGCTGTAAGTGTTTCGTAGATACTGCCACAAAACCAGCCCCTCTTGTAGGCTGAATTATTGCCGTGATATGTCGTTGCTGTGTGTGAATGAATTCAGTGACTTTGTTGAATTACTTTGCTATTATTTTCAAAGGCGTTAGTTCGTCTGCACTGAATGTGGCATCGTACTTCAAGGAGTCAGGGACTGCTGATGTCTACCTTATTGAGTAGACAGTGGAGGTAAACAGCGACCTTCTGTGCGGTGAGTGCGTGCCATACGACAGATGAAACCGAGCAAAGCCACCTTGTCTGATGCGACTTGCAATTCACCTTCTAGAGATTGCGACTTACTTGAACGTGATTTTATTTTTCCATGTTTATGTAATAAATGCCATCAACAATATAATTGTCAATATATTCATTATTGTCTTTGCAATTAGTTGTAGTGGATTCCATCTTGTTCAAAGATGTTGAGCATGCAAATTCTCACGTGTGTATGTTCTGGTCCCTATTATTCATTTGAATCTGTACTAACGATGGGTCTGTAGTTCCTTCAAATCACAAGCATGCGAAGATGAATGCAGTTATCCAGTTTACTGGGTACTTATAGAAGCTCGTGCGATTTCTAAACTTTGGAACTGGTAAGAACTTGTAGAGTCGAACCAAGTGTTCCTTGAGTTTGCGCCAGCCACCCTTACTCTACTTTGCGCTGCCATCCTAACTTGAAACTCTGACATTAAAAGAGGATATTTAAGAAATTCAATGGCTGTTTTGGGCTTGTCCATCTTGCAAACCGAATTCTACTGTCACAAGTTTTACACCGCAGTGTTCCATAATCAAACCTGGATGAATGGACCTGAGGCAACAGTTGGCCTTGTACTTGACCGGCAGTAAATATCTGTCAGATAGTGTAAAGATAAGAATTGGGGGCAAACATGCAGTTGTAATTCATTTGTTGAGGTTCTATTGTAAAGTTTGTGCATAAAAGGTTTGCTTAGACATCACTGAGGAATTTTGCATTGTGGATTAAAATATTGGGCGGTTAATGTTCATACAAAGCCAAATGTTGCATGAAGTGTGAGTTCTTAGATTGGCCTGATGAAAAGAAGCATAACTAAAGAAATAAAGAGCAAATGTATTTTCGCGAATTGAAAAAAATTTCCAGTGGAACGGGAAGGAATTATTGCCACTTTCAAACTGGCAAATTATTTGTTAGAGCATATTCATAAGTACTTTGCGTTGCCTGCAAAGCCTAAAACACTATTAAATAAGAGATAAAAATTATTTTGCTGGACAATTGTTGAAGGTGAAAAACTCCATGCCCTAATATCCCAATAAATTAATTAAATTCCCATATCAATGACAAACTGACAAATTTGTTACCACTACATTATAAAATGCGGAAAAATGACGCTTTTTTAGTTGCAAATTATGCTTTTATCTGTGTATTGATGAAACACCAAGTAAATAGAAGTGCGCAGAATTACCAAGCAAAGTCGAAACAATTTTGAATGCGCGGCGTATGTAATGTCATATGTGAGTCAAGGTGATAAATTGAAGCGATATGATTAAAGAAGTTGAAAGATTTCACAAGTTGATAATTTGTGGGTCACTTCTTAGTTGCGTAGTTATTGAATATTTTGCTCTTGCATGCATGTTGCGAAGTTGCAAATGTGGCGCTTTTTGTTTCACGTTGTAATTTCAAAATAAATAAGGCCAAATTTCGGATAAAAAATAATAGCATATCCTAGAATTACACTGACAAATACATGGATGTTTTGATGCATCTAGTTGGTGCTGATAAATGGTATTCATTTGGAGCTATATAATTACCCTACGAATTCGACAAAACCTGAGGGAAACAAGGAACCGTAAAAGTTTCGTAACGTTTCTGCGGTAATCAAGCAATGATCAACGCAGTATAATTTTTTATTAGGCCACAAAGTTGCGGGGAATTTCACTTTCATACAACGCCTTGTTTTGTGCAACAGTGTAAATGGGTGGGTGTGGCTTCCACTGAGTAACCTAACGGGACGATAAGGGGACGGAACATCAGAAAGCGAAGTCTGAGATGCAGACAATGTGTGCGCAGTATTTCTACTGTATGTAGAAGGGTTCGCTCCCATATATTCGGAGGATTTGAGCTCTACCATGATCATCTCCCTCACGCCTTTGTATCACTCGGAATCATCTTAACCCATTAGTGAGCAATAGAATGCGTGAGTTTTTCTCTAAGTGATACTTATCCACTAGATAAACTTAGCGAAAGTGGGAGGCAAGTAATTTCATCTGCAGAAATGCATGTCATTTGATTGCCACCTATATACTTGCTTGTG